AACACAAAACAATTCACCATGACCAACTGGGATTCATAACAGGTATGTAAAGATGGCTCAACATAAGAAAAACAAAACAATCAGTGTATTTCATCACATTAACAAAGCAAAGAACAAGATGCTATCAAGTGATGCAGAAAAGGCCTCGGAAAGAATCCAATGACCTTTCCTGATTAAAACACTCACCAAAAATAAGATTAGAGGGGAGTTTCTTCAACATGATATATGCAAACCAGAGAGCCAACACTGTTTTCAATGAGGGAGATTAAAGACATTCACTTTGAGAACAGGAACTAGGCAAGGATGCCCACTATCACCTTTCTTTTTCAATACTGTATTGGGAGTCTTAGCAATAACACTAAGACGAGAGAAGGAAATAAAAGTATACAAATTGGCAAAGAGGAGGTAAAATTATCTCTCTATGTAGATGATATGATAGTATACTTAGAAAACCCTAAAGACTCAGCACGAAAACTACTGGGCATAGTTGACCAATACAGCAAAGTGGCAAGATACAAGATCAACATACGTACAAGAATGAATGAATGAGAACCCAAAATCTCTGTAAATGTTCATTAAAACTAATAAAATTTAATTAAAAAAAAAAACACCCCAAGATCAACACAAAAAAATCAACTGGATTTCTCTATAGTGACAGAGATCAACATACAAAAATCAACTGGATTTCTCTATAGTGACAGAGAGAATACAGAACTGGAGATAAGTAAAACATCCTTCACAATAGCTAATCACAAGATTAAATACTTCAGAGTAAATCTAACCAGAAGCACAAAGGATCTATTCAAAGAAAATTACAAAATATTAATACAAGAAACAAAGAGAAACCTGGAGAAATGGAAGAATATACCTTGTTGATCGATAGGAACACTCAATATTGTGAAAATGACAATACCACCAAAGGCAATTTACACACTGAATGAAATTCCAATACAAATACCAATTCCATTCTTCAACGAGATGGAAAAGGTAATTTCCAATTTCAGTACTCCTTAAAAAGACAAACAAGGTAGGAGGCATCTCACTCCCTGATTTCAAATCCTACTGCACTGCCGTGGTGGTCAAGACAGTGTGGTACTGGTACAATGACAGATACACATGTCAATGGTATAGATAGAATTGAGAATCCAGAAATCAACCCATCTACCTATGGCCAACTGATTTTTGACAAGGAGACGAAATCAGTTAAGTGGGAAACGACACCAACAAATGGTGCTGGCAAAATTGGAAAATTATCTGCAGAAAACTCAAGCAAGATCCACACCTTAATCCACACACAAAACCCAACTAAAAGTGGATCAAGGACCTAGGACTAAAACAAAGGACTATAAACTTTATTAAAGAAAAGTTTGTAAGAACTCTAGAAGTCCTAATCCACAACATAAACAGTCTTTCAAGCATCCTCAAAAACTTACAACCAGGAGGAGATAAAATAGATGAATGGAACCTTCTAAGAATCAAGTATCTATGCATATCCAAAAACTTCTCCAACAGGGTAAAAAGGGAAGCCACAGACTGGGAAAAAGTATTTGGTAATGAAATGTCAGAAAAGGAACATTTCTAGAATTTATAAATCTAGAATTTATAAAATACTCAAGCATCTTAACAAGATAAAGGTAAACAACCCAAATGAAAAATGAGCCCAGGATATGAACAGACACTTCACCAAAGAAGACATTCAGATGGCCAACAAACTCATGAAGAAATCTTCAAAATCCCTAGCTCTAAGAGAGATGCAAATCAA